AGTAGACTCAAGTCTTTCTGACTCTAATAATTTTTTTTTTTCAGTAGATGTTTATGTGGAGTTGAGTTATCTTGGTTCTCATTAAGGACACAAGGTTTTTGCATAAAAAAAATCAATAAATCAATTTTTAAACATTAATATATTTACATAAAAAAGTTACAAATACATTAACACAAAAAAGAGATATTAAGATTCTTCAATAATAGAATCTTTAAAAGGGATTGCCCTAAAATAAACCTTGTATTCCTCAGGAACCTATTGAAGCATTGTTATAATATCTTGGTATTTTTGTCTACTTATGGGATTTTTTTTTGCTCTCAATTGTGGAAGATTTGCCGGAATCTCTGCAGGCTTCCTTTTATTTCTTCTTAAATCCACCACAGAAAAAGCTTCTTCGTTGAACGAAGTTTTTAAAAAGAGCTTTCTGTAGTCTCCTTTTTGTATCTGCATCCATACCATTGTTGACATGGATGCTAACGTTTTGTCTTTCGATCTTTTTCTATATACAAATGACCCCCAATTTTTGTAGAGGGAAGAAAATGGAAAAATTTTTTGTAAATGCATGAGACACAAATTAAAGGATTCCCCACAACTTCTTACAAAATTGCACCAATCATTGCAAGTGAAGATGTTCATCGTCTTGATAGATTTTTTTCTTCTATCAATAACATTGTGGGATGCATCTACTTCCAAGTGCATATGCCCATGTAATAAAAACTTAAAATTGTCTCCAGGGATGGATATTTACTCACGAGAATGAAATATAACATCGCCATCATGATGTTTCTATTTTGTCCGGGACAATTGCCTGTTCAGACATTTAAGTTCTTTATATTTTGCGTCAATGACTCTTGGACGAATTTCAAGAAACAAGAGGCGATCTCATACCAACCCAAAAATCATCAAAAATACATTTTTGCATTTCTTTGCTGAAATGCATGCTGCATTTGTAATGACAATTGTCCTTACAAGGCTTCTTTAGTTACCTGGACTTCATGGTTTCGCGACAGAGATTTCAGATATCTATATAACTCATTTTACCCAAAAATGGAGTTAAGACAAGTTAGCTCTCAGGTACAGATATCTATATTGAAAAGGTGTTTAACAAAGTTAGACTTAGTCTCCCACTAAATAAAAGTTGTTTAACAGAGTTAGACTTGGTCCTCTAAAACAACTAAAATATTTTTGCAAACTTTAAAGTATCATAAAAACTGAACCATGTGACCTGACATTACTTTTAAATAAACAAGTAAATCAAGATTACTAAAATAATTAACATAATTATGATTTGGATTAAAATTATAAACATTATATACTATATAATTTTACAAATTGATAAACATGATAAAATTATCAATAATATTTTAAGTATCTCTATAATATAACAAACCAAAACTGGAAAATCATTTTGATTAAAATCTAGTACAACTCCTCTATATTTACGTGCAGTCCAATCAGATATCTACAAATAAAAAGCAAATTGTTTAAGTTTAAAGATATTGTTAAAATATTGCATACTGTTTTTATAATTTTCTATTAAACAATTTGAAACTACATAATTTAAAAATAATTTAAAAATAAATGAATTAACCTGAAGTAGTGGCACAGCCTTTCCTCTGAATAACTTGAAACACTGAAATAATGTGGTCAGACTTCGATACAATGCTTCAAAACTGGATGCAACTATTAAAATCTAAAATAAAAACATTTAAGATTTTTAATTTTTATGTTTTTAATTCTAAGTTATTTTTTATATACTTAAGATCTTTTATTTCTTATTTTTCATTGTAAATTTTCTTTATTTTTTTTTTTCATTTGCATTCACTCCCAACATTTTCATTGTAATTATTTAAAAACTTTGGCATATAAAATTCGCCGAATGGTCACACACGAGCAGTGAACGCCTGAGGGAAGAAATGAAGTACATTAGAATAAAGGAGAATTATTTATTAGACAAAGCATATTTTGACAGTTGTCAAGACAAAAATAAAGATTAATAGAGGAAAATTTCAAAACAAGTAAGACAGACAACACATCCAAGCAGTACTCACAATAACAATAACAAAAAATTGTATCATATAAAAAACTAGTACGTACGAAGATATACAACAAATATAACCAAAATAAATTTTTTTTTTTAAAAACCAAAAAATTGATAAACAAAAAACTTAAAAATAAAAAACAAAAAAAATGGATAGCAATGTAAGGCCTTAGAATGGAAAAAGAACATTAATGCTAATGTGTAAACATAATTATGTAGTGATAAAGTAATAAACATCTCCTCAGAGTCGCGTCTATTATTACAGGCGTTTCGATGAGGATCAGCACTTATAACTAGTTTATCCCGTCAGACAAATGTCATCGCCACTTGTGCTTTACCCCGCGACTTATGCCTATTCCATACTGCAGTAAAAAAGAACTCACTACAAATAGCCAAAACCCAACCAACCCCAAATTTGTAAAGCACCAATATTTTTCTTGATGATATGATATAAAAAGTATAGATTTACTGAACAAACAAAAATAAAAATAACTAAATAAAACACTTACCAAAAGAAAAACATGAAAACAAAATAAATTAAAATTCTAATAGAAACATAAAAATATTAATCAATTTATTTTAAGAAATAAAACCAAACAGGTATTATTAGCATAAACAAGCCCAAGATAATCAGAAAGCAGTATACCTCATTAAAAAAAATTTTTAATAAACAAAACAATACCCTTAAATAAACTCTAACGCTGTCATAGATACCTCATTCGAAATATGATAACCAATCAAAAGTGTAGGAAAATGAGTAACCCGCGAAACCCAAAATCATAACAATAATAGAATAATATATGATAGCGAAAAAGAACGTTGCACAAAAACCTTAAAAATGTAAGCGACATATGTGTAAACATTAAATGAAGGATATAAAAATATTCTCTGAATAATAATAAAGATAAAAATAGTGCATGTGAAAATTAAAACAAAGCTGAGTAATGAATGCAAGATAATATAACATGAAAGTTTCTGTAAACAGTAATAATATGAAAATCAGGAGATAAGTAAAATATTAATAAATATAGCAATAAGACTAAATAAATATTGTAATAAAACCAGATAATTTTAAGCCAAATAAGTGGTTAAAAAATTAGTTGTGGGTATTATAACAATGATATAAATCGTGATATAAAAACGATGTAGAAAGCGGGGAAAAAAAAAATTGTTAAAAAGTGAAGTTTTCTCTACGGTCCAAACTAAAAGAAACTTTGAAACCATATCTAAATCGAAATTTCCGAAAAATAAAGTTTTCTCTACGGTCCGAATTAAATGTAACTTTGAGGCCATAACAAAATAACAAGGAAAAACATACTTCATAAAAACAAGTCGAAAGCCGCTAATTTATAAGAATCGCTCTTATACTTATATGTAAATTCAGATGAATCCTTTAATGAAAAATTCAATCACACATGATAAACACATATAGATAACATACAAATCTGTATCTACATTTTAACAACATATCTATTAAAAGAAAATATTATCTAAATAAGGATGAGTTCAAACAAAGATAGTTTATCTATGAAAGAACAAAAAGCATGCAAAAGATGTAAACGGGCTGTATGTGCATAAGGGTGTATAGGTGTAATGTGTAAGTCTGTGCTGATTATGTCATTCAGTAGAGTCTTGTATTGTTAGTAACCAGCGTAAAATATTTGTCTCAGAACTAAACCAAGCCAGCCCAGCCATACTCCAGAAAACCATGATGGATTAAACACCTATGCATGGATTTTTCTTTATTTTTTTTTTTCATTTGCATTCACTCCCAACATTTTCATTGTAAATTTCTTTATTTATTGTGTGAATATTTTCATTGTAAATTTCTTTATTTATTGTGTGAATATTTTCATTGTAAATTTCTTTATTTATTGTGTGAATATTTTCATTGTAAATTTCTTTATTTATTGTGTGAATATTTTCATTGTAAATTTCTTTATTTATTGTGTGAATATTTTCATTGTAAATTTTCTTTATTTGTGTGAATATTTTCATTGTAAATTTCTTTATTTATTGTGTGAATATTTTCATTGTAAATTTTCTTTATTTATTGTGTGAATATTTTCATTGTAAATTTCTTTATTTATTGTGTGAATATTTTCATTGTAAATTTCTTTATTTATTGTGTGAATATTTTCATTGTAAATTTTCTTTATTTATTGTGTGAATATTTTCATTGTAAATTTCTTTATTTATTGTGTGAATATTTTCATTGTAAATTTCTTTATTTATTGTGTGAATATTTTATTAAAATAAAAAAAAGTCTAAAAATAATATGAAATATAAAGATTTTAACTATAATTTTAGTCATTTCTATTAATTGTGGTTAGATTATTTTTTTTTAACTATTTAAAAATTTTTATTAAATCAAATATATTTATAGTCAAATATTGAATTTCAGTGACTTTAAAGTCTTTAAAGTGACTTTAAAGTCTTTTAAAGCTATAAAATTGAGATTAAATATTTAATAATAAAAAAAACAAAACAATTTTAAAATCTTAATTCACTTTTAGAAAGGAAAAAGTTAAAACTTCCTAAGTTCTATGGAGCAGCTCTCTAATGTTATAAGAATCCCTACATAAAATCCATTTTGATGTGAAAAGTAAAATGGAGTTTTTGCTTGTTCACGACAATGGCAAACTTTAGAAAGCATTTAACACCAAGAGGGATAGTGGGATAGGCTGATGCAACAGTAAACATAACAAACAAGTGCTAAACAATGCTGTTCATAACTGCCTTAAAATTTTTTTTGGGTGCTATTTGATTTTAGATGACATTCATGAGATCATAGATATTAAAAAAAAAAAAAAAAAACAGAGGAGAAATAAAGTTTTAAAATTTACGTTTAGACAACTTTAATTTATAAGTTAATTTATAGAACAATTTAAGAATATAATAATAAATAAAAAAGCAGTTTACAAAAGTCTTTTAAAGTAAACAAGTCTCTAAGTGTTTTTTGTCTCACATTAAAAAAATCTATCAAGTGTATAAACTCACTTGTAAACATTTCTGAGAAAAAAATTTCAAAATATACATTTTTTATTTTTAAAATTTTTTGTAGTAAAATATTCATCAGCTTTTCTTTTTCTCTACTTTTTTTGCTTGATCAATAATAGAATTTGTTTTGTACTGTTTGTGAGACAAATTTTTTATCTTTTTCACATTGAATTTATACTTAAATGATGTAGCTTAACTTTTGTTACAATTTTAATCTTTTGATATAAATTTGCTTAAATGTGCTAATAACCACAATTATTTTTAACTTGGTTGTGCAATACACTATACAATAGAATATATTTGAAACTACACAATACATATTATATGGCCAATAACTGATACTTCACTGACATCAGAGTACATATCAGAGTACAAGAAGGTGGTTTGTCATTTTATTAATGAAAAATAAAATTGATAAATGATGTTTATCATGCTGAATGATTGCTCAACAGGATACTTAAGCATACCTTAATATTCTTACTAAACTCTACATATTTTTTACACTTATAAAAACAAATTCAATATCCTCATCGTAAATCTCACAAGTTCAATATTCTTATCATAAATTCAACATACTAAGTTCATATTCTTTAAAAATTAAAACAAATTGATGTCTTATTATAGTGAAAAAATCTAAAATAAACAACAACCAATGTAAAACCCTTTGGTTTGGAGTGTTGTATGTGACACCTGTGAGTTGACACAATTTTTGCAGAATATATAAAGATAGGCTGAACTCAAAATCGATCCATATATCGTACAGTAATTGCTAAATGATTTTGTGAACATGATTTATTAATTAGATTATTTAATGAAATTGTCTATTTGTTAAATAAATGAACAAAAGTATCAAAAAAAATTTGTTTACAGAAACAAACGATAATGTAAATGGTAATACAACTTTATTAGCTTTATTGCAAAAATACGCAACAAATATACTAAGAACCTTCTCATTTTGTGTTGAGAAATTATAGCTTTTGCATGTGAAGTCTCAAAAAATATTTAATAGGTTTTAAGTTAGGTTTTACTCTATTTTTACAAGTACTGGCAATATGCACATTATCCAGAGCAACATATAATAATATACATGTTTCTGTTAACTTATGATTGATAAATAATTGATGAGTGTGGAAATTTATCTGACTTAATCATTGCACATTTTTGACAATGTATTTTAGGTTTTGAGTGGCAGTGTATAAATTTTTGATCTTCACTTCCGTGAGAGTTTTATTGCAAACCCTACCTGAAAAAAACATGTACTTCAATTATTTCATATATGTATATTTATATTTACACTATAAACTATCAAAAGCTCAACAAAAAAATGATTTTAAGTAATAAATCTCTCCAGTTTTGTTTATCTTTCTTATATATTCTAAATAATACTCCTTTGTTGCAGTCTTTTCCTAAAGCCAATTAAGTCGCATTTGCTGCATTAAGTCTGATAAAGATGTTTTGTTTAGAAGTAGTAAAAAGACATTAATTTGATAAAAATTTAAAATTAAAAAAATTTAATGTTTTTTATGTTTAAAAAAAAATTACTTTTTGAGTTTGTATTTGTATAAAGTACTCTTCTTGCTTTGTAAATGAAGCTTTATTAACCATGCATTCAATATAAGGATACTTGAACATTGAACCTAAAAGCAAAACATTACAAACTTAAACTTATATGAAATAATTAAAATTCAACAACATAATACTCAGTAAAACCTTTAATTAACAAATAAGTATTATTACTATAACTAACAAAGAACTCCAATAATTCAATAAAAACACAAAGAAAACCAAATATTTATTGACATAAGCTACAAGATGCACCTAACAAAAAGACTGGGATCAAATTCAGTGAGATAAATCCATCCAATTTGAACCAGTTAATTTTTTGCAATAATAATTAAAAGTACTGTTAATACAAGTTTGCACTAAATTTGATGAAAATAAAAAAACTTATTTTAAAGCAAAAAAGTTTATTACAGATTACTACAAGTATGAAAACACATTCTTGTATTTTGACGGTGATTTTAATCATCCCATTTTTTATGATCACAATTTAAAGCCAAGGGAATAATTTTATTCAGAAAACTTGATTTGATGGGGACCTAAGAAATTACAAAAACAACTTTTTTTTTTGCAATTTTTTTGCATGTAACTTAAAACATATTAAAGCTATCACAGAAGAACATAAAAATATTATTTTGATAAATTTTTAAATTAATCATATTCATTATTATTATTATTATTATTATTATTACTATTAACTGAACTCCTTTTAATATTCCAATAAAGAATCTGATCTAGCTTTAACATTCTAATAAAAAACTAGCTTTAACATTCAAATAAAGAAACTGAACTTCTTCTTAAGTTTTTTCATATTAAAATCCCTTCCTTTTAATTGTGTGATTTAGTAGAGAAAAAACAAGAACAAAAGACAATTGTTTGCAATTAAAACTTGAATAAACTTGATACTTTGATCTATTTTAATTGTGTGTATCGCTTTTTAAAAAGTTTAAACAATTATTTACAAATATTGTCTTTGTTTATATTTATTTTCATTTTTATATTATAAATGTAAACAAAACAAAAAAACAAACAAACAAAAAAAAAAAAATGCCTAATAGAGTTAAATTTTTAAAATAACTTTTTTTGGCAGTTGCCATGATCTTTTAACTCTTTAAACTTTTTAGATAGTTGAAACAATTTTTTAATTCACGACAATAAAAACACTATTGTGTATGAAAGAAGTATTGTGGAAAGATTTTGAATATTTAACTTTTGAAATACTTAAGTATTTTAAAACTAAAAGCTTTAAAATACTTGAAAGAATTTTCTGAACTTTTTTACAGACATTTTTTTTACAGATATTCATATTTTTGTTCTTCTAATTTTACATAATAATTTTTATCATGAAATAAATTTTTATGCATAAATTTCAAGTAAATTTATTATGATTTAAATAAAATGATTTATGATATTTAAAACTCATCGTCAGCGATAAGTAAACTTATATAAAGCTTAGTTAAAAGAACTTTCGTGGCAACATGCTATACTAAAATTAATTTAAATAAGTAACAATGGGATTTAAGGGACAAAGTGAGATTTGTTCACCGCACGTACGTACGCACGTACGAGGGCAGCAAATAAATTTAATCAGCTCATTTAAATATTTAGTATACTAGGTATTTAAATTAAAAAAAAAAATTATTTAAACATAAAAATTATTTTTTATTTCTTTTAATTTAAAAATACAAAATTTACGCAAATTTTGTAATTGTAAATTAAAAAAAATTTTTGTTTTGTATTTATAAATATTTTTTTTTTTTTTTTATGTTTTATGCAAATATAACATATAACGTAGATAATACATTTCATTGCAAGTTTAATTTTTGAATTTTTAGTTGATGTTATTTTCGGTGTACTTTACCATTAAATTTAGTTTACTGAAAGTATTTTTAATTTCTTTAATATTGAATTTGTTTTTATAAAAACGTTAACAACCTATTTCAAAGTATTTATTAATATGCAAAGTTTTTGTAACTTTCCTGAGTTAAAATAATCAGTAAAAATGTAAATAAAGAGTTTTTGAATAATAAGAATAAATAAAAATAATAATTTATTAAACATATTGACTAGAGAGAAACTAGAGAATAACTGATGCCAATTAAAGTTTTTTTTTGAATGAATGATTTTGCTTGTTAATTGACAATGCTTTTTTTAACATTAAAAAAAAAATCAATCAACTTAATTTATTTCTTCAATGTGTGCACTGATTAGGTTTTCTAAGTGTCTAGCATAACACTTTAAATCTGAGTCCGATATAGATTGTTTTTTATACCATGGAGCTTTTGGATCACATGTAAGAACCAACTAAAATTTTCTCATTTGACAATAATAATAGGTTAATTTATACTTTTTGTTATTGTAATGCATGAAATCAAAATGTAATAATATAGCTGGTACTGGGAATAATTGCCAGCATGTTATTAATAATTTGTTATTACTAAAATATTAGTATATCACTATTTGCTAATTTTTATAAATATTCAAGTTATAACATAAAAAATTAAAAATAATTTGCATACCCTTGGAATGAAGTTCCACAATAAGATTACTTCCTAATTGCATTACTTTTTCTTTAAAAAGATCAATAACAGAAACAACACGATGTACAGAAACTAAAAAATATATGTAAATGTAAAGACAATTATTTTATCTACAGCATAGAAAAGCGCATAGTATATTACTAATAGGGCCCCGGCTAAAAATGAGGTTTTTTTCGGGCTAGAAAAAAACTTATAACACTTAATATATTATTTTATGCTTACATTTACTATTTATCAAATAGTGGCATACATTTATATATCTAATTTATTTCTAACAAGATTGCAAGCAACCACTATTAAATTATGAGTTATCTTATAATAGAGAATTAGTTAAAATACTAAGAAATGTATAACTGAAGATTTAAAAAGTTGTAAGTTGAATAAAAAAGGAAAACATGAAGATGGGTAAGAGTTTTAAGGTTTTTTTGATAATCAAGGAAAGAAACCGGATTAATAAAAATTTTTTTAGCATGTAGATATAGAAAAGGATGCAAATTGTTGAATAAAAAGCCAAGCAAGAATGAGTTTTGGTTTATCGTAATAGAGATGGTAGCTCATTTGAACATTGGCCATGATTGTATTTGTAGAGAAAAGAAAGAAATGCAACCTTACAACAATGGAAGAGTGGCTCAAGTTGGCAGATAAAGCAGGTCTAATTACATTTACAACGTGCTTTTAGACTTTATCTGAGAGTAAGAAGGTTGTTATTTGTTGATATAGGAATGGCAACAATATTGCAATATTTTTTGCAGTAATTAAATAAGTTGTGTTTTCTAACAAAAATTGTGGATTTTAAATTCAGAATTTAAATCCTAAGCCACTGAAAGCCTTAGAAACTAAGATATAAGTGAAGACTAATTGTAGGATAGTTGGAGAGGTCAAAGTGTTTTCTAGAGTTGGAACCACTTAGCAATTTTTAAAAGTTTAGCAAAAATTGAAGAGTGTTCTGGAGAGGGCTTTTTTGAGACTATGATGGAAATCTATTCTGGAGCACAAACTCAAAAAGTGTTTAATCATAAATTAACTTTAGCATTGAAAGTCAGAGTGATTCCAATGCTTAACAATAGATAAATCTGTTTAACTGTCAGGAAGAGTATGGCCATTAGATTCAAAAGTCAAATTAGAGTAAGATTTCTTTGCAAATAACTCTACTTTATTCTGGGGAGAAGTAAAAAGATTAGACTCATGAATTAGAGATTAAATGTTGAGTTTTTTACTTTAATTAATGAAGTCTCTAGAACCTCACATCTGAAAGTCATTAGAAGTCATTAGAACATCAAAAGTCTCTAGAACCTCACATCTGAGATAAGATAAAGACAGGGTTTTTTTACATTGGCTTCTTGCAATAATTAAAGTTCTAAAGAGAGATGTTCTTGCAATAACGATGAAAAAAAATGATTAATGTTTAATAAAAGCTGCTAAAGATGGTGGAGTAGAATGAGGCTTGACTTAAAATTGAAAAGAAGTAATAAAAGCTTCCAAACTTTTATTTCAGAAGGAATAAGAGCTTCAAAGATGCACATATTATGAATATAAACATATATGTTTGCTATTTATTTAGATGCTGGCATACAACATCATTTTATTGTTACATAAACTTTAGTTTTTATATGGTTTAGTATTTGCTGAAAGAGAAAATGATCAGATGGATGTGTGGTGTGACTCAAACAAGACAAGAAAAGGAGGCATAATTTTATACAAAAAAAAATGTTGAACTGAACAAAAATTGTTCAAAAAGATTAAAGTAATTTAGGTATCAGTATGTAGAGAGGTAGCAGCCCAAGTAGAAAATGGTAGTAGTAGAAGTAAGAAAACTTGAAGAGAGTGCCTTGCATATTGTATAAATAAACTTTAGTTAAGAAAAAAAAATGCTCTGGATTGTTTATATTAGAGAAAAAGCATAAAAGAGGAAGGGTAAAGCCTGATGATGATGATGATGATGATGATCATGATCATGATTATCATGATTATGTTGATCATGATGATGTTTATATATGCATATAAAATATAACATGAATTTTGAATAAAAAAAAAATACTTTAGGATGTATAAATGTTTATGCAGTCCTGGTCACAAACCCGGTCAAATATCAACCCTGGTAACTTAATATTGTATATGAGAGTTAGATTTTAATGGAAAATATTTATTTGTATTTTTTTTCAAAAAAAAATAAGCCATAAAAAGGAGTTTATAAAATCAACTAAGTGGTAAGTAAAAACGCTTTAATTCAAATAAAACAGATATAAGGTTATTTAAATAAAATTTCCAAATACAAGGTTATTTAACCAGAAACTTTTGTTAATAATTAGAGCTACACTTATATCTTAAGTCCAAATTTTTATCACTATGGTTGGTTGAAATTTGGGTGATTTTAAATTAAGTTTTCTCAGAGACAACTTAACCAATTGTAATAATTTTCTTTTTATAATGATGCTTACATAATTTTTATTTAGGAAAATTTTTAACACTATTTCTACATTTGACTCTTTTTTTCTCAATATTCCTGAATTACCTTTTTTGGAATACTGGATTGATGCCAGATCTGGCCAAAATAAGATTGATTATTTGAGCTTTTTAATTAGAGGAAGAATTTGTTTGTTTTTGCTTTTTAATTAGAGAAAGAAGTCGTTTTTTCAAGCATTCCCTCTCATATAAATCTGGTGTCAAAGATTGATTTTTCATGAAAGGAGAGCTTTTAAAACCTCAACTGCAAAAAAGAAGCTTTATAACATTTCTACTGATAATAGTATTCCTATTGATTATTAAGATTGATTACTTTATAACTCCTAATAGTATTGATAATAGTATCGATTCCTTTGATCAGATTGATTACTTTAATCACTCCTTTGATCAGAATTCTGTTTGAGTAACACCATCCTTATCAATCATTTAGTTGTTATCATTGAATGCTTATTATTACTATTATCTAATTATTAATACTGAATGTTAGTAGTAGTGTCCTTTCGAACCCGTTTGACACAGAACTCTTGGCAGCCATTGCAACTGAGGTAATGGCAAGAAAACATGAACGAAAGTGTATCTTTAAACGAAGGTGTATCTTTGAACGAAACTGTATGTTTAGTGTATTTTTATTATGTATGTAACATCAAGTTTTGTAATAATAAATATGTATCATGTTTTACAGTTTCACTTGCAACAACATCTTTTTAATTTCGATCTATAGCATTTACTTCTGTTTTATAAAGTCTTTTGTTTTTTAAATAATTTTAAACTTTCCTAAAGTATGTGTCAATATGGGCGGTTAGCGCGTCTTCATGCAGACGTGGAGACCGGGGTTCGAGTCCTATTGGCAGAACTCTTTTTTTTTAAATTTTATATTGATTTTTTAAAAATACAAAATAAGAAAAAAAAAAAAAAAAAAAAAAACACTTTTAAAAGAGAACTATGAAATTGTTTTATTTTGCGTTTAAAAACTAAAAAAAAGGAAATTTTCATAGCTATTTCACAACGCCTCCGTTAAACATTCTAATCTGTTTGCTCAACAATGGCAGAATTTAGATAACTATGAAAACAGTATAATTACTGTATAATATTGGAAGAGTCAACTCGAACCGCTATTAACTGATAATGCATGAGGCATTGTAGATGAGCACGCAGAAAGTTTTGAATTTCTTGAAATATTTTAAAATCTTCTATTACTAATACTAAATACACTTCTATTTATATAAATATTTGAAATAAATAATTGTTATTGTCTGGTGGTGGTTGATATTCAGGTTAGATTTTATAAACTTAAACTTTTTAAATTAAACTTTAATCAAATTTTTTAATTTAAACTAATAACTATTGATAAACTTTTAAATTAAACTTATTTTAAATAATTCTTTAAATTTACTTCATAAAAAATTTACAACAGGTTATTTTTCTTTTTTTTTTTCAATTTTAAATGTCGTTTCTTTTTTTTTTTAATATTAAGTTTTAAAAAAATTTTTGTCAAAAAGATTCTGTTTCTACACTAAACACCATCAATTTTAGTCAGTAGAACATGCAAAATATTAAAATGATTTGCTGCTGTGACGGTATTTATAATTATCCATGTCAAATTAAATTTTTACTGTCAGTTAGGATTTAGTGAATACTTTAAATTGCAGTGAAAATAATTTTCAAATTAATCAACAATATCCTGAATTAGGGGTTATCTAATAAGTACTTACAATAAATACGTAAAAAAAAACTTATAAACCAATTGTTCGCTATTTATGTTTATCGATCTGCCCTTATCTGTTTATGAAAACATTAATGTTTTTAATTAAAAAGATTGCATTTTTAAGAAAAATAAACATTCTACAATTTTTTATTTTTATAATTTTACCTTTATTATCTCATGATGGTAGAGTTATTTTTCATGTTTAACTGGAAATATTATGCATTACAAACATTTTAAATTTAGTTGTTTTATTTCTTTCAGCTCTACTTTGGTGCTCTACCAGCTATCATAAAGTTTACTTTGTCTACTGTTAAAATATGGTTTTAACTTTAAAATATGGTTTTACCAGCTATCATAAGTTTACTTTATCTACTGTTAAAATATGGTTTTAACTTAGTAAACTTTAGTTATTTAAAATTTACTTTGTTGATCATTAGCTAATGGTTTAAAAAGAAATTTGTTTGTAATAGTTTAAAAAGAAATTAGTTTCAACCATGGTAAGACCTATTATATTTTTTAATCAATTTACAAAATTTGTTTGCACTGATTTTATGTTTTTTTTTATTTTGTGTAATTTTGTGTAATGAAAAGAAAAGAAATTTATTGCAAAGACAATTGTCTTTGCAATAAATTCCTTTTCTTTTCAGAAATTGACCATTTTTAATAATGCTATCTAAAAAAATATCAACAGCAGGCAAATAGACTTGTAGTATTAGTATATGTTATGTTTTTACTTTTATCATATCAATTTTTTTTATCTTAGATATATCTTACAATGCTTTTTCAGCATATTGCAGTTCAAATAAAGGGCCCACATCTGACAAGACACATAAGTTGTGGGCCCTTATTTTTGGGCAAAAGCTCCCTCTTCCTCACCTTTAATAAGGAGTTTGGATCCTGTAAAAAATAAAATATGAGAAGAAAGAGTGGTGGGAAAATACGCTATATTTATAATTAGTATTTTTGTAGTTAATCTACCAATTGTTAGCTGATGTTGCTGTTGTAGTTTAATTTTTTTTTTAAATAAAACTTTTTATATATTTTGTTTTGTTAATATGTATAAATAAATTGATTTACACTTAATACATGTGATATATTTTTTCTTATTGGAAAAAACTTAATAACCACATAAAATCCCAAGAATATATATGGCAGTTATTGTTGCTAAGGGTGATTATTAGGCAAGTAAATTATAAACTAATCAGGGTTTTTAACAAATTATAAACTAATCAGGGTAATTTTATTTGTAAACCTAATAAATAGAAAGATAACATATAATTCAGGTAGATATTGTTTTCAGTTTTTCTCCCAACTTTGATATCTTATATAAAAAATATGACCATTCCAATATTTATAATGATTTGTATTTTATCTATGTGAACGAAAGTCTATGCAAATATCTAAATATGTAAACTTCAAGTTCTTTAATTAGTAATCAGTATTATTATAAAGTAGATGACATCAAATTTTACAGATTTACTTTTACTTAAAAATTTCATTGCGGCAATACTTCTTTTTTTTTAAAGCATTTATATGCCATTTTATAAGTCTTCTGTTTATTAAACAGTTTTAAAGATGATACAGCATCGAATTTCTTTCTTAAATTTTTTTAGCAGCTAACTTCAGAATTTTTATTCCAAATGAATATACGGTTATAAGTATACGGAAAAAGGTGCACATGTGAAATTTCATTTTTGCTCATAATCTATTGTTCACTAAAAAATATTAGAAGAAGAAATATAGACAAATGCGGAATAGAGTTTATCTGTTTAGGAGAAAAACAAACTGTTTTATAAATCTCTTATAAGATCCACTTATATAAGATACTCTTATAAGATCCGTATACGGAAAAGGTGCGCATGTTAAATTTTTTGCTAATTCTGTCTGGACCCGCACTTAAAGCAATTTATTTCAAAAATTTTAGAATTATTTTTAAGATTTGTTTGGAATAAATTAGTATAGAAATGGTCCTTTGGTAAAGACCCATATTTTACTGGTCTGGAATGCTAGGATATACATTTAAAGAAAAAATATAGAAATGGTCGGTGTGAATTACAAAGACTGTGTTTTTAAAGATCTGGTCAGGTGAAACTTTTTATACAGATGGTCACATTTCAAGCGGGTATTTAGACAGGTACTAATATCCAGCGATTTACGCAACGGTAACCGTAACTTTGAAACTTTAATAAGGTTAACAAAAAAATAAATTTTTCTTTTTCATAGCTTTAAAAAGGAAACAATAAGTATAGTTTTTCTGTAAGTATATAGCTATTTTTAAACAGCTCACTAGAAAATATTGAAGTAAGGAAAAAGTATAGAAAAGGGCGATGTGGAATAAAGTTACCAAGACCCGTATTTTATGGGTCATATCAGCTAGTTATATTTATTATTATAATAATATTAATGTATGATTTAAAAAGGAAAGTGAATATCTTGTTGTTGTTGTTGTTGTTGTTGTTGTTGTTATTTACCTGGAGGCATTGAGTGCTCTTTTTTACAGTTTCATTGTCTTCTAAAATGCATAAATTTTTTTCGTAATTAATTTAAGCACATTTTGAGCTCCTCTGATGGCCTTGATTTCTTTATCACGCCACATTTTTAGTATTTTTTTATTGTATTATTTTTTAAAATTTTATATTTTGAATGCTCTTTAAATGAAAACTTTATTGCATTTTAACTTTGTAGCTAAATCTTGTTGTGACTGAGTCAGATTTTAATGAATTGAGTTGACTATTGATTTTGCCTTTTTTTTGGAAATAAATCTAGATTTTCCAACACTTCCGATTTTATTTTACAGTTTAGTTTTCCTTATAACATTTTATAATAATACCAACAGTTGATTTTGAAATTTTTGAAATCATGGAATATGAGAACAATAGATTTTTAATGTAAAATTTCAATTTTATTTTTCGATTTTCTGACTCTTTACACAACATCGCAAAAACTAATTAGGAGTAAACAAACCTACACTCACACACAAGAAAATTAATTATGTTAGCATCATTATAAAAAAACAAACATAACAATTGATTAAGTGGTTTTTGCGAAAACTCAATTTAAAATTTAATATTTAAAATAAATTTCAACCAATTATGGTGATAATAAACAGAGTGATCGAGAAATAGGAAGAAAATATTACATGCGTCATATGCCAATTATTATTAGAAATTTTAAAAAGACTAATCAAACTTTGGAAATTTAGCATAGACCACCCTTTACGAATACACAGAATTGTATATGGTTCAGATCAAACTTTGTAGCAAAACCAATAACTTTTAACAATAATAGATTCATAGGGAATAACTATTTAAAAAATCACAAGGTTTGCAAATGAATATTCTTTGGAGTAAAAAACATAACTTTTTCATAAATCAAGTATTTAACGATTGCAATAGTTTGAACTATGAAGCTATTAATCCATAAACAACTCTTTTAAAAACAAAATAGACAAAAAATGAAAACAGTTTTATGTATATTGTTATAAAGTAATCTCTTCCAATATAAATTTTTTTTTAATTTTTACTTTGCAGTTTCTACCTATATTAAATAACCTTTTTACCTATAATAAAGATGTATAAAAAATTAATGCATAATAAAGATATGATTTTGTAAGTATACGCATAAAAAAAACAAATAAAAAACAACAAAGTTCTCACCTTTAGTTCCAATAATTGAAACTAAGAGATCTTTAGGAGGAACAAAAAATAAGCCTTTGAACTGTCTCACTATTTGAGGTCGTGGACAAAGCAGTTTCACTATTGGATCAACTTCAGTTTCAACTGGTTTAGAATTCAATCTAGCTGATGCTTTGTCTAACTTCTCTTCTAATTAAAAAAATGAAGCCTTCAATCTTTTTTATATACACTATACAATATCTATATACTTATATAATGTTTTTTATATACTTAAACATTTTTCATAAAACATTTTTTATATATCTTTAAATTTTATCATAAATTTTTATTTAATAAAATAGTAAAATTAACCAACTTTATTATAATAAATTTTTAGAAAATAAAAAGCTTTGATGTTTGAAAAGCAAAAATATATTTAACATAATAAAAATTATTGTGTTTTTGTTTAACTTTTGTTATGTTTTTATATCTTTATATTTTTTTACATTTTTATTTATGAACTTTTATTATTATATTTAAAACTATTTTTTTCAAATAAAAAAAAATGTTTATTAGTAGTTGATCTGCTAACTAAAAGACCACCCATTACACAAGGGATCCTCTTTCAATAATTTATTTTCAATTTAATATTATTTTCTAAACTTTTTATTACTTTTTCAAATTTCAATTCTATTTTCTAAATTATTTTTCAGACTCCTGATAACAACAAAATTAATCATAATTTATACTAAACCAAAGTAGAGTTTAGACTTCAGTATTTGTTTCAATGATTTTTTAACTTGTGCATGTACACCTTTATTTACACATAACGTACATAATAAAATGAAAAATTTTTTTAAAATGATACAAAGAACTAGTCAGCAATAGTTTATTCATTAATTTTATAGTTTATTCAGCAATAGATCAAATAAAACATTGTTTTACATACTTAGATAAAGACCTAATGAAACTGCTATATTGTTCGTTAGTTCAACCTCAGTTGGAATTTGCTTCACCAATTTGGAATCCAAATTACAAAAAAGACATCAATAAAATAGAACAAGTCCAATCAAGAGCAACAAAAATAAGGTGTTTAAAATATGTGGAGCGATTAAAAGAATTCGGATTGACGTCATTAGAAAAACGAAGAGAACGAAGCGATATAATAGAATATTGAAAAATTCAAAATGACATTCATAAAGTAAATTGGAGATTAATAAACCCTCCATTAAACAATTTATATCCAAAATGAAGAGGTCATAATCAATGGTTGCACAAACAAAATGTTCATATTTCTGAAGCAAGAAAGCATAACTTTACTGATAGGATTGTTAATAAATGGAATAATCTAACCTATGATGTTGTTAACTCTGTTGATTTAAATACTTTTAAAAATAAACTCTAGGAACATGAGAAGCGCAATTATAAATAAAAATTAGATTGCTATTATTTTATTATATCACAAATTTCATTTTACTGTTTAAGTCAGCTACAGTTGATTGACTCACATATTTTTTATATGTACAGTTTTTTTTTTTTTTTTTTTTTTTTTTACATTATTCACCTCCCCAAGGCCCGAGGGGGCCACTACAGTCGAGGAGGCTACTCATTTTTTTGTGTTTTTTATTTTTTTGTTGTATTTCGTGGTACAACCCTCTCTCAACTCTTTAACTCCGAAACACGAACCTTGACAAGCAAGGCCGCTGCGCGGAGAAATTAAGTTGAGCGCGGTACTTCCAGGGACGTGGTGGGAGTCGAACTCCGAACCTCTCGCTTACAAAGCGAGCGCTCTTACCACTACACCACTGCCGCATAACAGTTAACATAATTATTATAGTTTATTCATTAATTATGTTATCAAAGAATAAATTAAGTTTGAAGTGGAATCACGCACAGAAAAGAAAAATGAAATTTTTTTTTACTAGATAAACTTTTTACTAGATAAACTTTAATTCCTGAGAAAATATAAGTTTCAGTAGAATACTTTTTTTTTTATATAATACTTTAAATATTAGTAAAGATTTCTAAAAAGTTACAGGATTGTACTATATATCAGAGTCACAGCAATCATTTAAATGTAGATGAAACTCTTATGAAGTTGCAAATTTCCCGATATCATGTAGAATAGAGCAGGGCATATAGGGACACTTAAGAAACAAATGGTAGTTGCAGAAAAACTAACCATAGTTAACACTGTTTTTTATCAATTTCTTAAAATTCATTGACATAAGAAAACAAAAAAACAAATTCTAAAAAATTCTAAAAATAAGCTTCGACCACCAAAAGTAATAAAACTCTAGACTAGCAAAATTTTTACGTTTTCCAAGTTGGTGGGGCAAAACAAGACAGTTAAATAGCAGTAGTTACTCTTTCATACAAAGCTTTAAAAATAAAGACTATCTATCATTTAAACATGTTCAGAGATTAAACTCTAAAAAAAGGAACATATCCATATAAATTACACGCCTATACACCCATACACCACAAAAAAGAAATAACTAATATTAAAAAAAGTTTTTGTGTTTTATTATAAAATACCTCCGGTCTATCCTAACATATATATTATTAAATTGATAACTACTACTGAACTTAGAATTAAACAAAAAACGTTATGGATCACATAAATCATACAAAACTATTTGGCAACATTTTTGATGAGCTTGCTTATTAGCAATAGTCTAATTTAGAACAAATTTAAAGTATCAGCAGCTTTTTTAATTCTAAGTTCCTTTTTACTTGCAGCTAAAACTGCATTTCATCCAATTTTGGATGATTGATTTTTTTATATAATTTATTATCATTGCTGTTTACATTAAACACTATTAATAATAGAAGTTAAATTATAAAAACAACAATTTCTTTGAATTTATTACTAATATTGCTTTTCTAAATAAGGAAAATAATATTTTAGATAAAAATAAAATCATCAAACTGTAAACAGCATCACAAAATGGTAGTAATATAGTCAATCATATAAATAAATTGTCGTCCTGATATGCCCCACAATACTAGAGGATAAAAATACTGTCTGAAAAGAGGATAAAAATACTGTCTGAAAAATATAAACTTTTTATAAATAAAGCAAATTAACAATAGTTCAAAATTAATTTTTTTTCATTGTATTGCTTAAAAAAATATGCAAATTTTGTTTTTCCCAAACTTAGTGATGCATTTTGGTACTTTTATTGCTTATTGTGACAAGAATAAATGGTAGTATCATCAGCGAACAATGCCACCTTAGATGTAAAAATATCTGGAAGATTGTTAATGTATATTAAAAAGAGTATAGGGCCAAGGATTGAACCTTGAGGAACCCCTGAGGTTACAGAATAAGAAGAAGAGTGCTGTCCATCAAGGACAACTTGTATACTACAATTGGAAAAAAAGGATTCAATAATCTTAAAGATGTTTCCAGATACACCGTAAGAAGAAAGCTTATGGAGGAGACCAGCATGCCAAACTTTATCAAACGCTTTAGAAATGTCAAGAGCAATGGCCTTAACCTCTCCACCTTTATCTAATGCACAATAAAACCTATCGGTTATTACTGATAGGTTTTATTGTGCATTCAGCCGTAGAACGAGAAGATCGAAATCCATATTGATGATCAGAAAGTAGGTTATGAGATTTGAGATGAGAGATTAAGTGTTTGTTAATTAAAGATTCAAAAACCTTGCTTATGATAGGAAGAAGACTAATGGGACGGTAGCTAGATGAGTCAGATCGCTCTCCAGAATTTTTAAAAATAGGGATAACAGATGTTGCTTTCCAGCAGGCTGGAAAACAAGACTCTGATGAGCACTTGTTAAATAGTTTTGAAAGGATAGACGACAGCTCCGGAGAACACTTCTGCAAGACTATAACAGGTATGTTGTCCGGGCCGCAAGCTGTAGAAGAGTCTAAGCAGGAAATCACTTTAGATACAGAAGCTGGAGTGATACGGATGTCAAGTAATGGATCAACCTGTTTGATGACTATAACAGGTAGAACAACTAGTGGAATCAAGAGATGACATTGATGCTCTTAGCAAATAATTCAGCTTTTTCTTTAGATGAGGTGACAAAGTCTGAACCATACAAAAAAAGTGGAATTACAGATTTGCCCTTATTATTGATACTATTAAAGATTCTCCAGAAGTCGCAAGAGCCTAACTTTTGTGATGAAATACGAGATTTCATGATCTGAGAATAGCGGGCTTTGGCGTTAGACAAAACCTTTTTACAATGGTTTCTAGCAGTAACAGATGTCTGTTTTCTAAGAGAATTGTTTTGCTGATAGATATGAAAGTAATAGTTTCGATTGGCAATTGCAGCAGCACAATGCGAGGAAAACCATGGAGAAGAGTAAAGGCTTGACCTGGAATCGCCGAGAGAGAATAAAGGATTCCATGTCAGCCTGAATTTACGAAGTTATGTAAGAAGCACATTTGTCAATAGGAAGACGAAAGATTTGTACCCACGGGCAATCTTGAAGAAAATCACGGAGTCAAATCAAGTGCAATATTATGTCTCTTATATTAAATATATACAACTCATATTTGATATATTTTTAATAAATATATATATATATATATATATATATATATATATATATATATATATATATATATATATATATATATATATATATATATATATATATATATATATATATATATATTTATATATATATATATATATATATATATATATATATATATATATATATATATATATATATATATATATTAGGGTGTCCCAAAAAACAACATTTTTGAAAATAATCTGCTCTCACCCCCTAAATGTGTTCTATCTAATACAAAAACACTAGGTTTAAATTTTTTTTGAATAAAAAATATTTTAAGGGGTCCCTCAAGACCCTCGAATATTTAATGGGTCCCTAATATTTTTGAAAAAAAGGTTTTTAAAAATATGTCAACCTGGTACTCAAATGAAGCGAAATTATATAAATATTTCAAAAACAATATTCATTTCGAAATATTTTTAACTTTTTTATCAAAATTATCATAAAAAAACATTAGAAATTCATTTTTTTCATTTTTTCTTTAAAAAACGCAATTTTTTATGTAATAAAACCAAAAATAACAATTTGTTTCAAAATGAATATTATTTTCAAAACTTTTATATAATTTCGCTTCATTTGAGTACCAGGTTGACATATTTTTAAAAAAACTTTTTTTTTGAAAATATTAGGGACCCATTAAATATTCTTGAGGGTCTTGAGGGACCCCTTAAAATATTTTTTATTCAAAAAAAATTTAAACCTAGTGTTTCTGCATTAGATATAACACATTTAGGGGGTGAGAGCAGATTATTTTCAAAAATGTTGTTTTTTGGGACACCCTAATATATATATATATATATATATATATATATATATATATATATATATATATATATATATATATATATATATATATATATATATATATATATATATATATATATATATATATATATAAATTCATATATAAAAAACTTAAAATCAACATAAGTATATATAAAAATCACATAAACCAACATAAGTAATCAAACCTACCATTTTCCTTTACTTCAGGAGGTTTATCAGCAGAAAGAAGAATATACCTCTCCAAAAGATCATTTAATTCTTTATTCTGTAACATTATATCTAAGCAAGATACGCCATCATAATAGCTAAAATAAAATAACTTTTTAAGTATAAGTTTTAACATAAAGAAATTTTTTTTTAAATTAAGTTTGATCATAAAATTACAATATAAATATTAGATAATAGATATAAAAAATATAAGATGAAAGATATAAAAAATATAAAATAAACTTTAATGGTTAAAAAAATGTCTCTGTATTCTACTTATTACTTAGTCTTTTTGCACATTTTTAACCTGTTTTTGTGATATGCACTTGATATTTTTCTCTTGAAACTGTAAATCATAAAAAAACATGTGGCATGTAACAAGTATCTATGTCCTAGTCAACTTTCAAAATGTTAAGAAAATATTGGTCTTAAATTCATCAAATGATTTGCTGTATTAAGCAATACACCTTAGAGTTTTTAGTCAGAAATTTGAGTCTTTGACCCAAAACCTGGATGGTTTAGGAATTCTTTGATTTCAATTTAATTGCTTTTTTTATGTAACTTTAATTCATAAATGCTTAAATCATAAAATGATATTATATAATATTATTAGAAGAGCACAAAGATATCAAAAAAAAAAAAGTCACAATAAAAATTAATATCTTTTTTGTAAAGTTCCAGATCTCCATAGACAAAAACAAAAATAAATTTATGGGGATTGTATAAAGTATGTTAACAAACTGCTAATTTCAAACCAACCAACTATGTAGAAATAGTAGCATGGAACAATTGTTTAAATAATAAATTAAGTTACTATTATTCATAAAAGTTGTTACTATGGTTTCCAAGAGTGGTGAAAAGTTTAATTAAAACTTTAAATACTTTAACATTTCATGCAGATTCATTAACTAATGATTTTATCTTATACTAACACAATTTAAAATATCTTCTAAATAATAAAAACAAACCCTTGAAATGGTTTGATGTAAACATTTGGTTGTTGCTTTAACAATTCTTCTATAACTGAAAAATCTTTTCTTTTCAGAGCATCATGTAATGGTGTTTGACCATCAGCATTTAATTCATCCACATTGCCACCATGGTCTGAAAATAATATATTTGAAAGTTACTCTAATCTCAAAATATAAATAAAATAAACATATCAGGCTTCAAAAAAGAGTGTTTGACCACTGTAATTGGCCACTACATCCAAAAGTATTAAAATTTTTACACATAAATAATAACTATACATTTAATAGATTATAAGTTAAACTCTCTCTCTCTCTCTCTCTCTCTCTCTCTCTCTCTCTCTCTCTCTCTCTCTCTCTCTCTCTCTCTCTCTCTCTCTTGTTTTAGTAACACCCCTCAGGTCAAAATTTTCAAAACAAACAACAAGAAGCCGTAAAGCTCACTCTGAAACAGCCATGATATATATATATATATATATATATATATATATATATATATATATATATATACACACCTGTTTCAGAGTAAGCTTTACCGCTTCTTGTTTTTTTTGAAAATTTTGACTTGAGGGGTGTTACTAAAACATTTATAACTTTTGAAATATTAGAGATAATTTTGTTTTGTAAAAGGAATAAAAACAACAATAAAATATTTTATCATACAACATTTAATACAATAGTAAAAAAAACTTCTTTTAGTTTACACAAAGCGCGACAAATGATGAACTTGGTTAAATTTTAGTAATTTGTTGTTACTTTTTATCAAAAAAAATCAGAAAAATATATTTCTGATAGTTATTATAAAATACATTCATAATTTAACTATTATTAAAATAAAAAAATTTTAATTAATTGTTAAAGGTAAACTGAAACAGTCTTTATTGAAGTCTGCAAGCAAACTGGATTTTTTGCAAAATTATGAAAAATATTGTTAAAGGGGGAATTAGCTGTTAAATGATCCTGTTTTTAAATCTAGAAGTTCTTGTTTTAGAAAATAATTCACTAAGTTGATAAATTCAATGCATTAAAAAATAAAACCAGATTTCAATTTTGAAATATTTAGTCTTAACATTTTAAGCTAAAGCCTTTAAAAAACTTAAGCAATTCTTTTCTATGCATACAGTTTTAATAATATAGTGTTAGGTTGTTAATAAATAAAGACTCTAATAAAATAATTCATGACCAAAACTGAGTTAAAGTTTTTAAATTAACCTCGCTTTTGGTAATAAATTTTTTTTATGGCACTTGAATCAATCTCTTCTCACAAAAATAAAACGTTTCTTTAAATATAAATATAGCTAATTTAAATTGTTTGATGTGTTTTGAATTGTTTTTATTCTCATAAAAAACTTTTTATAATGAGTTGATCAATTTTATAATGAGTTGATCAATTAATAAGTTCTTTAAGTAGAAAACGATCTTTGAACACCCAGTTGATAATAGATTTATGCACCATTCTAAAGAAAAAACTGCCCAACTTTGTTTACCTTTTACTTCAAAATTCGTCTTGCTAAGAAAGTTGTTTTCATAAAATTTATTACATATTTGCTTGGGATGTACCGTAAACCGGGGTAACTTTGTACCAATTTTGATAAAGAAGATAACTTTTTAAAAAAAAGGAACATTTTCCCAAAACTATTTTGATGCTCAAAGTTGTGCAATACAATGTGTCATTTAGTTAGTAAAATGGTGTATTTATTGTATTCACCAAATCCAAGATTTTATGGAAATAATGAGGTTGTCAATGTTACCTGGCAATGGGGTAACTTTGCCATAGTAAATTGTTTTTTTAGCACCAGATGTAAATTAAGTGCTATTAACCACATTTAATGTAATTTAAACTTACAGTTAGCATTTATTTTAAAAGGGGTACTAAAATATATCAAGAAATTAAAAAAGGGACAATAAAAATAAATATAAACAGTATTAAAGAAACATATTAGCTAAAATAATTTAATTTTTTTTTAATATTTTTTAACCCAATGATTAAAAAAACTTACTAATTTTTTTATTAAATGTCAGAAAAAGCAAAAAATAAGAGAGTACTAAAAAATAAACAAACAATTTGTAACATAAACTCATATATATATAAACTGTTCTCATATATTCATAATATAAAACCAATCCCCAAAAGTAACTTCATCAAACCAGCCAGATTGGGTTCTATTAAGGCAAGAATTTTTTGGACCATATTTTATCCATAAATCGTATGTGTGCTTTTAAAAACTGAGTATGGTGAAAGAATTTCTCTTACACCATTTCTACAAAACATTACAGAGAAACAAGCCTTACTGATATTCATTATCCTCTCAGGGTACTTGGTTCCACGTTTCATAATAACTTTTTTATTTCCAGAGTCATCACGTAAATTTGTTTCATCATAATTCCAAATGATACAAGATGGAATTTCTTCACGCTCAAGTCTAATATTGTCAAAATAAATTTTTAATTATTCTTTGTTTATATCTGCACATTTTCTTTAAACGTTTGATGCAGTTCTATGGGTTAACTGTGAACGTTTCATAAAACTTGACACCAAATCATCACCAGGAACATTGTTTTCAAATATTTTTACAGTAAGATTTTGCAATTTTAAATAACCAGCTACTATAATTTTAACATCAAGTCTATTTAATGGAAATCCGCAATCACAAATAACCTTGATTCTAGATGAAAATAACTGCTCCTCATTATAAGCAAATATGGTTGGTGCATCAATGCATTTTTTATGCTTTGACTTCAATTTAATATATATAGTGCTTCTTGGTATACTAAACCTTTTTAAGGCTTGACAAATAAACATACCTTCATTAATTGCACCCATACACTCTTTCAAAATAATGGTATTATAACAAGTGTTGTATGTTTTCCAACACTATGCTTGTTATATTTACGAGGCATTATGCTTTAAACAAAAGTAAATATTAACAACACAAGCAAACTAAAATTTAGTAATTTACTAAACTATTATATAATTTTATTAAATTGCAATTAAACTTAAAACTAAGAGTCTATAAATTTTAATCTTGTTATAAAGTTTATAAAATTATGATTTAGCAACAACAACAACAAATAGTTTAACAAGAAAATATACTTTTTTAAAAATACTTAAATACATTTGTGCTAAAAACTGTTTATCAAAATAAATTATTTGGATAACATGCTTCAAAAAATATTCTAGTTATAATAAATAACGATCAGACTACTTTAAAATGAATGAATATTATTTACTAGACCGAAGTTACTCCAAAAGAGTATAAACCTACAGGGTAACTTTGACCACCCTGTAAAAAAATTAGAATGTTGTTACTTGAGCCAAAAACTTTTTGCCTATTTTCATCTGAACGTTTGTCTTTAAAACAGAAGAAAAACTGAGTTGTTTGCTATCATTTTTATCTTTGCCCAGACAACATTTTGTTTTACGGTTTTTGATGGTGTTTTACCAAGATGTAGTTTTCATTCTTATTCACTTATAGTAAAAAGCATTTTCAACAAACTTCAGATCAAAATTTAAGCAAGAAAAATTGCATTTACAAATAAAACAAAAATAGTAAAACGTTACTTAACTGTTTCAAAGTTACAAATGTTTAATTAAAATTTTTAAAAATGGCCAAAGTTACCCCGGTTTATGGTACAGAATTTAAGGTCACATGATTGTTTTGAAATGTAAACAATGTTTTGCGCATTAAACTAGAAAAATTTGTTTCTAAACTAGCCAAGTTTGAAAACATATTTCATAACATAGCAATAGGTACAGCAAACAATTTTTTGATTTTTATATGCAGAAAGAGTTGAAATTTCAATAATTTGGTGCGGATTACAAAAATACAATTTTCATAATTTAATAACAAAATTAAAAATATAAATGCATTTAAAAATAGTTAAAAAATAAAAAGTAAGCAATCTGCACCAAAAATTAAATAGAATAGACATTTATTTATAAATAATCCAAACTTCAACCATTAAGCATGTAGCTATGTTATGAAATCTTAGTTTTCCATAAAAACCACAAAAAACAGAAAAGTGATCCCAAATCATTAGCAATATTTAAACATTAATATTTTTATTTCGTTTAATGTAAATATTTATTTAAAAAAAAAAAGATAGGTCTTTTATATTTTTTTATTTGAAGATGGAAGCGCTTATAGGAAAAAAATACTATTATTTTAAAGTTAGTGCATTTTTAAACTTTTTTTGCGGAAATACTTTTTTTTTTTGATAAACATAAACTGTAACAAACACGAATTCCAAAGAACTGATGTTCGAGGAAAAAAACTAGACGAATAGGAGTTTTTGGAGCACTTAGGAACAGTAACAGAAAAAGGATGAGACTTAATTGAATGACGAGTAACAAAGGAATGAATTTTAGTAGATGACACAAGAGAGGCTAGCTCTTTAGAGCAGTGCCCATTATAGTATTTGTAGAAAAGAGAAAGAGAAGCAACATTACTACGATGTGACAGAGGTTGAAGGTTGGCTGCAAGAGCAGGTCCAACTATGTTTACAATGCGTTTTTGCACCTTGTCTAAAAGAGAAAAGGCATCATTAGAAGATCCGCCCCAGACATGGCAACAGTATTCCATACAAGGCCGGATTTGAGATTTATAGAGATAGAGAATACAATCCAGAGTAAGAAAGTGACGAGCTCGATAAAGAGAAGCAACTTTAGCAGATGCTAATTTTGCAACGGATTTGATATAAGCTTTCCAAGAAAGATCAGAAGTAAGAGTTAATCCTAGAAGATGAAGGGTAGGAGACTCATCGAGTATATTACCGTTCATAAATATAGGAAGGTCTAAATTATTGCAATAACGATTGGCCGAAAAAAATTGAGTTTTATCTGAATTAAAGTTCACCAGCCACTACGAGCCCCATGCTGTAGCAGAAGTGAGATCCTTTTCAAGCTCAGATGCCCCCTGCAAGCAATCAGAGGGAGTTGGCTTCTTATCGTGACAAGAATAAATGGTAGTATCATCAGCAAACAATGCCACCTTAGATGTGAGAATATCTGGAAGATCGTTAATGTAAATTAAAAAGAGTAACAGTTGGGCTGAAAAGTTCATATCCTTTAATAGAAAAACACATTTTTTTTTCAAAATTCGGTTTTATTATTCAACATAGTTTCCATCAGAGGCA